TTGTGGACCATCCAAAACAATCAAATATGCAAACATCACTAGTCACATCACTTACATCAGGGGTGTTCACACTTTTTCAGCATGCGAGCTACTTTAAAAATGACCAAGTCCAAGTGATCTTCTGTACTTACTATAAAAATACAAAACATATACTTATTTATAAACATATTAAGTATGCTTTTTATGTTTTATGTTCTTGTCTTTAGTGTTTTATCATGTTTTATATGGCACCTTGATTTATTGTTTTATAACACTACTTTTAATCTCATTTTACTAATAATAATACTAATAATAAACATTTTATTTAAAAAGCGCCTTTCATGACACCCAAGGACACTTTACATTAATAACAAAGATCAACAGGAATAAAGAATATAAAATACATAAAGAATATAAAATACATACAGAATATAAAATGCGTAAAGAAAATAAAATACATAAAGAATATAAAATACATACAGAATATAAAATACATAAAGAATATAAAATACATACAGAATATAAAATACATAAAGAATATAAAATACATACAGCAAAGTTAAGGATAAGCGAGTCTAAAGAGATGTGTTTTCAGAGCAGTCTTGAATATAGAAAGAGAGATGGTGTTTCTTAAGTCAGGGGGCAGAGAGTTCCAGAGATGAGGGGCAGAGCAGGTGAAGGCCCTGCTCCCCATGGTGGAGAGGCGGGCAGAGGGTACATGGAGATGTAGTGAAGAGGAGGATCTGAGAGAGCGAGAGGGGATGGAGATGTGTAGGAGGTCAGATAGGTACGGAGGGGAAAGGTTGTGGATAGCTTTGAAAGTGAGAAGAAGAATTTTGAAGACGATGTGTGATTTAACCGGGAGCCAGTGGAGCTGCTGCAGGACAGGGGTGATGTGGTTATAGGAGGAGGTTTGAGTTATGACACAGGCAGCTGAGTTCTGGACCAATTGTAGCTTCTGGAGAGATTTGTTGGGGAGTCCATAAAGAAGGGAGTTGCAGTAGCCAATCCGAGAAGTCACAAGAATGTGAACAAGGATGGATGTGGAGCGGGGTGTGAGAGAAGGGCGGAGATGGTTAATATTTCTGAGATGGAAATAGGCAGACCGAGTGACATTGTTGATGTGTGAAGTGAAGGAGAGAGTGGTGTCGAGGATGACACCAAGACTCTTGACCGGAGGCGAGGGGGATAGCAGAGAGTTGTTAAGGGGGATGAGAAAATTTTCTGATTTTGAAAGAGAGTTTTTGGTACCGACAAGAATGATTTCTGTTTTGTTACTGTTTAGTTGTAGAAAGTTGTTAGAAAACCAGTGATTTAGCTCATTGAGACAGTCGGTGAGGATGGAGGGTGGGTGGGTGGAGTTTGGTTTTGTTGATAGGTAGAGCTGTGTGTCATCAGCATAACAGTGAAAATGGACACCAAATTTACGGAAGATGTGACCTAGAAGAAGGAGGTAAATGATGAAGAGGAGGTGTCCAAGGACAGAGCCTTGGGGGACACCCATGGAGACGGGGGAAGACTGGGAATGAAAGGATTTAAGCTGAATGAATTGAGTGCGGTCAGAGAGATATGATTTGAACCAGTCTAACGGAGTACCTGAGATGCCAATGGAGGTTAGTCTGTTGAGGAGGATAGAATGACAGATTGTGTCGAAGGCAGAACTTAGATCCAGTAAAATGAGGATAGACAGAAGAGCAGAGTCAGCAGCAAGAAGAAGGTCATTAGTTATTTTTATTAGAGCTGTTTCAGTGTTATGGTGGGGGCAAAAACCAGATTGAAACTCTTCATAAATGTTATTGTTGGATAGGTAAGAGTGAAGTTGACTAGCAACGGCTTTTTCAAGAACTTTGGAAATAAAGGGCAGATTAGAGATCGGACGAAGATTACTGAAGTTGGTAAAGTCAAGACCAGGTTTCTTGATGATGGGGGTGATGGCTGCAGATTTGAAAGCTGTGGGAACAATGCCAGAGGTTAGGGAGGAGTGGATGATGTTATTGATGAAGGGGAGCAGAGACTGTAGTCTGTACTGTAGTTTATTGTTTCTGAACTTTATATGTTGTCTGTGTAAATCAGGTCTCTCTTGTAAATGAGACTAACCTGGATAAATAAAGCTTGAATGAATAAGTCCAGCTCACTGTGCACGCAACATAAATGACAAAACCCAAAAGTTTTTTGACAAAAAAAGTGACTATTTATTTTTACTGTCCGCGTACAATATAGTTAACAGAACCCAGCAATAACTTGTGTTCTTCACACAAAGCAACAGAAAACAACAAGAATCACTTCATGTTTGGAAAATAACTTGAGAACCAAAGTGAAAGTTCAGTCCTGACAGCAGCTGCTTGAACTGTAACTGTACTTCTTGATTCCTGGAGATCGTATTATTTCTGGTTTGTTTTGAAAGTCTCTGAACAACGAGTCAGCTGCTTCAACAAATAACTCTTTTAATCTCTCCGTCTTGAAAAGACTTCTTGTGCTTAACAATTATTAAAGTGACTCACCCAGAATGATGCTTCGCTGCTGGTCAGCTGTAAGAAAAATGACTGCTGGGATAACTGGGATTGTAGTTCCTCCACAGTTTTCTTTCTCAGCTCACTTTTCAGAAGGAATTCAGTGCCGTAGTATTTATAGTTTGAAAATGCTGCTCCTTGAATCATGAAAAAAGTCCTCCCCCCATTCCGTATGGAAACGGTAGATTTTTTGCTTCTTACTTGGTCCAGCTCCAAAACTTATTTTACACACTTTCTTGAGTTTAGATATAAACTGGAGGCTGTTACGAGTCAACTTGTTTGTTTTTAGAGTGAATGTGCATGTGTGGTGACCTCTGCGTCAGAAAAAATCTGGCCTCTGATTGGCTGCCCTGTGTGTCAATCATAGGTGCTGTTTGCATATGCGTGGTGACCTATGTGTCCGATTAAGTCTGCCTCAGATTGGCTAACCTGTATGTCAATAAAGTGACAATGTGCATGGTGAAGATGGACTGATCGGCTGACATCTATTTAAAAATAAAATTAAAAAAGGTCTGACATCTATTTTGCCGTGCGATCTACTGATATCGCCGTATTGGGCACCCCTGACTTATATTAATAAAACACATGTGGCTTCGTTTCTAAACTGCTTTGCAAATATTTTTGGTTGCATAATTTAAAAAATAGTTGCTCTTTATTTATCATGTTTTGTTTTTATGCTTTAGATGATGATGATGTGACTGTGGAAGCTTTTGATAGGTTAGCTGACGGCATTTGAGGAAATTAAAGGCACTCGTCCAACACGCTGCTTCCTTGTGTGACGTCATGTGAAAATGAAAATAATTCAGTCGAGATATCAGGCAGGGAATGATTGACCTTTACAACTCTGACTCCTTCTTTGGTACAACTTGCAGATGTCTGAAAGTGCCACGTTCATTTGTTTAAACGGTTATTCTCAACTATAATAAGCACCACGAGAACGTCCTGTTCTGTGTTCCTAAGGTGAGTGAGTGGGTTTTCATGCAACATGTGTGAACTGACCTCAAAACAAAAAGTGTTTGTGAAGCAGCTGGTCAGAGGAGGTCATTCTCCACGTGAAACAAGTCGTGCACAGACGTGGACTCAGGATCTCTCTGCGAGGAAGCGTCTACTCAGAAAGCACCAGATTACAGTTTGTAAATGCACAGTGGGACAAAGACCTTAATATTTTTGGAGACACGTCCTGTGGGAACTAAAATTTGGCCACGTTTTGGAGGAAAAAGAAGGAAGCATAAAAGCCCGGGAGCACCATCCCAGCTGTGAAGCACGGAGGTGGCAGCATCATGCTGTGTGGTGATTTGTTGTGACCTTCACAAAATAAAATCCTCCCCATAAAAAAAAATTATGTGGAAATATTGAAGCAACATCTCTAAACATCAGCCAGGAAGTTAAAGCTTGGTTGCAAGTGGTTCTTCAGATGGGTTCCAGACATGATGCTGATTTAGTTACAAAGTGGATTAAGGAGAACAAAGTTGGTGTTTTGGAGGGGCGTCACAAAACCTGACCTCAGTCCCATAGATAGATGAGGAAAACTCCAGTGATCTACTGGGAGAAGCTTCTGGAAGGATCCCAGAAATAACTGACCCGTGTCATAGAATTCAAAGGCAAAGGAAACAAAAATAACTCAGGAAGTGATTTTCTTTGTTAATTTCTACTTGTTTATGTTCCTCGCAGACCTTTCAGAACCCTGAGTATGTTGCCAGCCTGGTTCCGACCTACGTCGTCTTGTTCCTGATGGGAGTTTGGGCGTTTTACACGGCGGGCGGCTCCCTCCGCAACCTCAAACTCTGCCTCACCTGCAAAGACAAGGACTTCCTGCTGGCCAACCACCGACCCAGATAACGCCGCGTGCTCGGCAGAATAACAGGACTCTATCCAAAGATCACACACGCACACGAACACACGACAGGTTGTTAACCGGCTGTTTCATTCTGCACAGGCTTAAAGAAATGTGAACGATGATAACTCTGGGTTTTATTTTAGCTGGATGAAATCAGATTTCTCTCCTGGTGATTTGAAAGAAACTTGCATGGCAACACTCCTGACATTCTTTAGATATGGAGTCTGGTGACTGACGGCTTCATGTGCCGCCTGTGTAAAAGCTCTTTAAATGTGGATTATGAAAACTTTTCTGTATATAAGTCTACATTTTTTAAATCTTGATGATAGTGAAAGCTTAGAGGCGTCAGAACACGGCACAAACAAACGGTGAACTCACTGCTGATATTTATCTGTTTAACCTGGTTGTTTTCAAGTTCAGTGTCTCTCTTCATCATGGGATTAGAAAATCTTCAACCCAACACAAACAAATTCAGATTAACTTGCCTGTAATTGTTGGTACTCAAACTCTGATTAGCCGAACTAGAAACTAAACAACACTGAAGCAGTTTAATTTCAGACCAACTGTTTGACCTTTTTATGTTGATTTCTGCACACGTGTTTGCGCAGTCATTGATGGTGCATTTAGTGTTTTAACTTTGTCTACTGCATCAGAAATCACACTGAATGTTTTCTTTGCACTTGGTTTTAGTTTGTATGAAAGTGGATGATTAAAACCCATGGGCTTGAACTTAAACATGTAAGTTTTACTTTACATTACATTTCGTTCAGTCCCTAAAACAAACACGCCCTACAGTAATAAATCAGTTGTTGGTATGTTTCAGAAATGTGGTACCAGTTTGTTGAATTTACTTTCTATTGTTTACGCTGGCTGAAAAAAAGGACTGACTAAAACAACATACATATCTGTCAGTGGACTGTAAACACAACAATAAATAACGAAAGAACCTGAAAGGTAAAGTCAAAAAAAGATGTTCGTCAGTGTGTGTTCTGAGTTTATTTCTCATCATTTCACAGGAAATGAGGACCAATCATCTTACCTCCAGTTGTGACAGATAATTAATTGTCCCTTGTTGCAAAGTGAAAAGGGAGACTACCTCCAACCATCTGTCCACGCATGTTGTGAGCATGATAACTTTAAAGTTAAGCAACATACAGACTTTCATTTTGGTGTGTGACTGCATCGTCACTATCAAGAATTAGGTTATTACTGGTACATCAAAATCCAAGATGGCCACAACCATATACATACAGTGGTGCTTGAAAGTTTGTGAGAGGACCATCAGCAGAGGACATCACTGGTAGTAGTCTCCACACCATCCAGGACATCTACCACAGCCGATGTCTGTAAAGCAAGCAGCATCATTAAGGACCACACCCACCCAGCACAAGGACTCTTCCATCTACTACCCACAGATGATACAGGAGTCTGCCATCGCGTACAAAAAGACTAAAGGACACTTATCCACAATCTGTCAGATTACTAAACTCGATAAATAACACAGAACAACTGGCTATAACATTGCACCAAGTCACATCTGTGATAACATATTACTAATATTAGTTTGTGACATCTAATATTTTTATTTATTGCTGCTACGTTATGTGACTATCTAGGCTGATAATAGACTGCATCATGTATTATACAGCATCTATATATTTACCCTTCCATCATAATTCAATATCAATGTCACTACCTGCGCAATAACCTGTCAAACAACCTGTATACTATGTTAATTATATATATATTTATATATATATATATATATATATATATATATATGGTGCATTTTAGCTTATATTACTAACTTGAAATACTTATTAAATTAAATTCATCCTGCTTGCACCTTCATATTCTACCATGTTGTTGTTTACTATCTGTTTAGGACGATGCAAATATAATTACCTTTTCACTTTTTGGTACTTTTTTGTTTACCCTTACTTTAGTATTTCATGTTTGTTATTTGTTTTTAGTGAGTCAGATCGGTTCTTCTCATCCTAAGCATTTCATTGTGCTGTTAACCTTGTGTTAACCTTGAATATGACACACAAACACAACTTGAACTTGGAGGGTTCAGGGCCTTGCTCAAGGGGCCCAGAGTGGGGCAAATGAGGGTGGAGACAGGTGTGGGTGCTTCACCAATCCCACCCACATTTTGATGCTGTCTGTAGCAGGAGTTGAACCAGCAATCTTCCGATCACAGGCCCCTCTGCAGCACCATTCCCATATACTGTATATACTGTATATACTGTATATACTGTATATACAGTATATATATATATATATATACTGTATATACAGTATATA